ATATTAGGATGATTGTTTGACCTGATACTTCCCAATAGCCTAACGGTTTATCAAATAATTTAACCGTTCTATTGCCTCTGTTAGGATAGTAATCAGTAGATAAATATTTGTGACCTAGTTTTAGCATATCTTCAAAAGGAAATGATTGAAATAGTGTAAAAGATGTTTGATAACTGAGTGAGTAAGTGAGTGAAGGAAGGAAGGACGGAAGATAGAGTTCTAAAATATGAGTACTGCAGTCTTATTAGGTGTATTTTATTTCTGTCAGTTTGATTCTGTTCGAAACAGTCAAAAGTGACTAGTCAACAGCATATATCATAGTTTTAATCATACCAAGCAGCCTTCACTTTACAGTCTAGACATTTTGGTTATTTAAAGACATAAATATGGTGAGGATTTTCACTTATGTCATTCTCACATTTTTTTCAAAAACTTAACCTGAAAATTTACTGCAACTTCCTGTTCAGCTTCCGATTCCAGGCTGGACATCGTCTGCTTGAACTTTATCGTCTCCTAACCCTACGGATCTCTCACTCACCCCTACCGAGCAGGAAACGTCTTTAGCAACGCAACCACATGAAAACGAACACTCCTGCCAGAGCACTGTGTTTACGCTCCCTCAAAACTTATCAGCGAATCCCTCCCTTCCAATTGTCAGGTTTCAGCGTGTCCACATTCATCAAGTAATCGGCTCGCTGACCGTACTCACCCCGCCCCCGTGAGTAGACGTGCATGGGATACGTCTCAACGATTAACTCCAGTCTTACAGGAAGCAATGCACTGTGCCTCCCTGGAAGCTGAAAATCTCCTCTCACCGAAATTTCAGACATGGAGGCTCTTCTTGGGCTTTCTTACAATCAGGCTTCAGCTAAGTCGAACGATACCTGATATCCCGGACCGAACATCGAACCTTCACAGAGTAAGCCGCACCACCTCTCTTAAGACTGCTTCAACAATAGTGACTACCGGAACTAAGAAGCCGGATTCTCTTACCTTTATTGCTACACTGCTTCTAATGCCCTAGGAGAAATTCCGACAGTCAGCTGGCTTGTCCATGCTTTGGGGTTCCGTGCTACTGGTCAGCACATATGGATCTCGTCGATCGCTGTTACCGCCAAGTCAACTGTGGAGGTGTGTTGGTTCGAATCCGGTGGGGCCACTAGAATGCTCATCGAGGTTGAACAACTAGGCTTAACCATTACACACCGGTGAACGTGTCATTTTTGAATTCCATAGCCAGCCACTCAAACAACTCCACCACTTATTCGTAGCGTGTACAGCTTCTTCACGTTAACTCTCTGCCATATGACTATTACGAGGTATTTAGCTGTCGTAAGAAAGTCATAGTTACTTTGGAAATATAATTGGACGTGCTACCAGTTTACTTGCGTAGCTGATCCGAACTAAGGCAGTTTGAGCATTTAAGCTCTACAAGCTTATTCATCACCCTAGATATATCGCTACCTTTGCAACCAAAACCGTGTCGATGACCCTTTCATATGTTATTTTATGTAAACACTTCATCGAAGTCACATGACCACATTCAGGTATGTTGAATGTCTCAGCTGTCTGAGCTAAATTCAGAACGCTGTACCCGTGATAACCTTTATCGACTAATCAGCATATACATCAGGCTGATCCGCCTGACGTAGGTTAATCTCAAGTAGGGCAGAGAGCCTTATGTATTTCAAGGTAGTATTTATTACTTCTCAGTGTAGAGTTCCAGAGTAGAAAGAGACAACTGTCCATTTTTCTTAAGTTTTCAATGATTCTCCAACTGATATCAGTCTGTGATAGATACTACTTCGTTAGTGACATGCGTTCAAATGGATATCCCGAAGTTTTAATGAGAAGTCGTGACCTGTCGAGTCAACCAGTCGGTAGGAAAGAGAACGCTAACTGAAGACCTTGGAAAGTAGTTGCGCTATATCGCGAATTGACGGAAGTCAGTAACTGTGAGCCATCGAACCCCACCTAGCAGCTGAATGGTCAAAGCGTTCAACGAGAAACCTCGAGGTCCTGGGTTCGATCCCTTACAGGGTCATAGGAGCGTAAAGGTAAGGAGTTTTACACTAGAACGAGGCAGCTCTCTACTGCTCCAGAGTTTCCAATGGTTTTCCAAATGATGTCAGTTAATAAGTGACGAATAATACTTTGAAGTATTTGGAGCAATCGGTAACGGTTATAAGGTCACAAACTTGTACAGTATGCATTTATCTTGAACTTTCTCGGCCATCAGGAATCTACGCTTTCTCACCCACCATAGAATGAACGAGTTTGTGGTTTCAGTTACAAGAATTCTACAGAGGTTTGTAAGTTTTCAAACAAATCTTCAAAGCACATCCTGTAAAAATCCAACTATCTGTTACTGGTTTGGCAGCAGAACTCAAGCGCACTTTGTACCAGTTATTTTCACAACTCCCTCCTCTTGGAAAAATGGAATGTAATCGAGACGGCACGAAAGATGTTCGAACTGAGTTTGCCTCTTAGCTGGAGTTTTAGTAGGCAAACATTCCAACGTCACGCTAGACACCATCATCAATACTCCAAAGGAAGTGAAGTAGGCTAGCTGCACATGGATAATTATGACACGCTCCTCTCCTGAGCTTAACCTAATTGGTTGCTTGGTGAGTGTACGGGCGTGCGTTGAACCTGATTAATTAGCACCTGTCTCTTGCTTTCTCAGTAGGGTAAGCATCGGTGTATAAGTTTAACTTCATTGTTTTGAACGAAGTCTGTTGAAGTCCTTTTATTGGGATTGGTTGATCTTTCTTATTTGTGTGAACTGATGACGGTCATACTGATTCCATTGATTGAAGTAAAGAGGGTTGTCTTGATCTGATTAGGTGACCTTTTTGAGATATTCTTGATTTATGAGAAATGGCAGTCACATTGCCACATCTTGGAATCTCAGTATTATATAAACCAACAAAATTATAACAATATATTTGATATATACCCCTAATTTCCCGTAACGTTTGCCTGATATTTTCAGTTAACCCTAAAATAACTTATCAGTGCTTTTTCCACACTGTTGCTAGCTTTTATTCCCATTACCCTGAAGACTGAACTCTCATTGGTTGCTTTCTCTTTCGACCTTAATGTGGGTTTAGTGTTTCCAACGTCATTTAGAAATGTATGTATTCAGCATCGTTCTCAACTGTTTTGACCGTTATTGAGACAGTAGAAAGCTCTCTGTCAAAGGTCCGTCTTCTTTGCTTGTCTTCAAATGCTGGCAGTATTGTTGTGGTGGTGGTTTACGTACTGACTAGCGTTTAAAGTCGATTCGTTCACGTGTTAGGTTAGTATCGTTCGTAGAGTGTTAGATCGTACTCCTGATCATAGCAATATCTTATGCAAACTGAAAGTTAAACAAAACAGAAAAATTGACGAACGTAACCTACAAAGCCACCTGAATTAATCGGGAACACTACAACAGCGTCATAATATGAAGTTTCTAATCTTAGTACACGGTGACGATTTCGACATACTTGAACATGCAAATTGAAAAACGGCTAGAGAATTTCTGGAAGCCTGGTAGTCGGAGCCACTAACCACAACAAAGTGACCTTAACATATTGCATTAGCCTGCACACTCATATGGGAAAACAGGAAGCAAATGTCAATCAAACAGGTCCATTGAACATGCTCACACACCCACCAAACAACCAATCAGGTTGGACTCGTGAGAGAAGTATGTCATAAATATCCATGTACAACCAATTCACTCCACTTTCTTATGGAGTACCGATGACGATTTATAACGTGACAATGAAACATTTGCCAACCGAAATTCCAGACTAGATAGGAACTTACTCTGAGCATCTACATACTGAGCTATAAATATTTTCCATTATTTCTGATACAAAACATGATTTAAACACTATCTAATGTCCCAATTGGCGGGCATACGTTTTTATCTGCGATATAGTCGACCACGTAAGTCACATCTTCCTATCACGAACGTGAAGTATCTCAGTGTCAATCACTTGTATATGGGTAATTATTTTTCGAAGGTGTGACATTAACTGAATGAACTACGAGCTGATGAACAATGGATTTGAAGGTGAGGGCACTTTAGCTATGCGAGCACTCCATTTCATCTCCACTGAATGTTTACCTTATATGAGTAAGGAACTTGTGGTTCTCAGTTTTTGAGTGATCAGAATGATTATGTAGGTACGTCTTAGGAAAGAAGTATACTTGTCATCTCGTTTTAAGAGCAAGTTGTTACATCTATAGACAGGTGCGAAAACATTTTGAATATAAAACTTGGCGTTCCTGTATATTCATCTAAACTGACACACATCAGATCCACCATACTAAATTACAAGGAGAAAGATTAAAATCTGTGAAACAGAAATCAAAAGTTCCAAAACATCACTGCATGAAAAAGAAGAAGGGTTAAAGCAGATAAGAAAAAAGATGATACAAGCTTGGAAGCATAAACATCAGCGAGATCATTTCTAATTCTCAGTTTCGTTTGTTGTATGGAACCCAGCCTGAAAGTTGGCATTCGCTTGTACGGCTCAAATCACAAGTTAGACACATCATGGACTGACATCATACCTTGGTCTGACTGCCACCAGCTTTTCTGCACGTGTTCCTGTTTACGTTATCGTATAATAGTGAGTGCTTCATGTCTTATCCACCTTTGTCGATAAAAAGTGATTACACCATCAACTAACTTACTCCTTTTACCCAACACGCCTAACATCCACATTGCTGAGATAGCGGTTACACCACAGACACATTCACACATCAACGCATACACAAGATACCACCAAGGCAACGATGGCTGAAGCTTTTTACAATATATCTTGGTAAACTAATCTGATATATCTTCGTTATTGAACCACAGGCTAGGAATCCGGTGACCGAATCATGAGTAAGTATTACTGAAGACTCACACAACCAGATGAAACTCACTTTTAATCTCTCAATGTTTATTTTTTTTAAACACACCAACTAAACAAATTTTCATCTCACGTTTAACTTACACAAAGAACAGAATCCCATTCGGTTCATAAGTTGAAAATTCAATTTTAAATGATCGATACAACTCAAAATTCCAAGTATCAAATCGTACAATTGAATCTTCTGTACCCATATAAGTGATTGGTACAGGAATCCGTGAAAATTCTGACTCAAGAGATGAATAACCACCACGTTTATTTGATGATGTTGGTCCAATGATAAGTTGTGCCTTAGGTAGACGAAATCTAACATCTGTGATACCTGTTCTTTGAACTGAATCCTTCCAATTTGGATCCATTAGAACGTTTAAAAGATTCACATCATTATCACCTTTTCTTATTATTTCAGCCTGTTAAAAGTTTTCAAAGAAATATGCAATGAAAAAATCCCAATAAATTTTAAATATTGAATTCCGGTGTCCTTGAGCGACCATCAAAAGACCTTGAAGCTACCAATCAGATTGAAGATGACTATGATTTCGTTCTGGGAATGATCATCTTGTACTATTGGTAATTCCCTAACCCCTAAAATTTAATTTTAAGTAAATTCAGAATATCCACTTAGTTGTAAACAGCCGGAGCTGAAATAAGAACCTACTGAATGTTCGTTTACTGCTTATAAGTAAATTAATCAATTAATTTTCAACTTTTGTAGTTTGAAACGTAATTTTAAATGTTATGAACTTAATGTCACTTGACTTCTCAAAGTCAAATTTTTACATCCTTCTACAAGATTTCATGCCAAAAACTTACAGAGGCGATAGGGGACCACTTGAAGGCTAATTTCCATTCATATCACAGTTCAGATGGTTCATTTTCAAATAGCCACATAGATGAAATTTTTTATCATATTTGAGCTTACTTTAACCAGAAAAAGCCAGTCAAAAGCTCATACAACTTCCTAAACATCATTTAAAAAAATACCATGTCTACTGCAATTTCTTTTCACTTGTGTAAAAACAACAAACAAATAGCTGTCTCTTTATTGATCCATTCAAGGTTACTTGATACTCGTTGAAGTACAGCCACCATTATAGACTCTGTTTAAATGAAAATTGTTCACAGGTAAAATTGTGGAGTTTCTTCCAGGTTGTGAAGCTTTAATGACGATAATGCCTAAACTAACTAGTGTAATGAGAAAACGCTCTAAATCTTTGAGAACTAGGGGTTTAGAGCAGCTAAATTATTTCCAAGGTGTCATAACTATTTTAGTTGATACCTATCTGGATTCGACTTACTTCACCAAATCGACTGGTCACGATAGATACATAGTACTACATACTACAATGGACACCAAAATTGAAGAATCTATCTATCGAATCAAAATACTCTCATAAACTGTTAGATTTAACATGGTAATGTTAAAAAAGTGCTAACGTTAACCAGTTGACTTGCCTATTGTTACAGTAAACTGATATGACCTGTTTCACGTGTTTGAACTGAGGACCAATGTTAAGTGATTGTGAGCGATCTCCTCTTACCTTATGTCCACAACTAGTAAGTCTGTCAAGCTGGATAACATATCCATAGTATGCAATGAGTTACAAATGTAAAATAAAGCCATTCAGGTTACGAACTGAAAGCTATAGTTTACAGTGGTAAGGAGTGTAAAAATAATTCACCAATCAGAAAGAACCTTTTTAAAAGTGGTTTCAAAATAAGAATAGATATGGTGACCTGTGAGTGAATTGTCGGCAGTAATACAGATCATCGGTCACTATCAATTGCCACGCAAATGGTCTTGGACCGGGAACTCCATTGGAAACTAACCAACACGATAGTAGCTTGTAATCAGGTCCACTTTCTGGGGTCATATTTAATTGATCCACACAAATCTGTGAATTCAGTTACTTACTGTCTAGGGCTCACTAATTAAAGGCTTCGAAAGAGGTTTCCTGAAATTCCAGTGCAAAGTCATGATCGGTAGGATCGACCAAGTTGGATGCCTATGTGCCTATGTTGGCATTAGATGATGGTCACGGAGAATATGAACCACTTTATTCTGAGTGTGACTTAATATTGACGTGTTCTCCAAAAGACCTGGAATTTGCAAGTGCACACAACTGAAGAGTTTCATACTGGAACGAAACAGCTGTCCAATGCTCCCATATTTTCAATTCTTCTCTAACTGATACCAGTCAGTCTGTGATGAATACTATCTTGAAAACAGTCAAAAAAACACATTTGTACATACCACATAATGTTTTTCAACTATCACTTGCTTGGCACCATCTGAAACGCAACTAGCTTCAAGTTGGTGATATAAACAAGTTCTCGTTGCTCATAAGATCAATTCACTTAATCTGATTATAGATATATGTCTAAACGTAAGGAATATACCTTTGTTGCATCAGTTTTCTCAGTTTCAGGTTTTCTGTTGATTAGTTTAAAAGGAACTACCAACGAATAACTGTTAACTATGCGTATTTATAAATTTTAGTCTTGCAAATAACTGTACTCTTTCATACTTGGTGTAAGAGACTACTTATAAAAATACTATCAGTGTTATACAATTATAAATTTTTGAAATTAAAAACCAACCTTTGTAATCCGTCCTTCAAATGTCCTATCCACCTTGCCTTCTGTATCTCTGATTGGATTGTTTGATCCACCCAAGTAAACTTTTCCATCTGTAGACACTAAAGGAGCTCGACCAGCTATTGATCTACTTGCATGGCTACGATGATCAAGCGTAATCGTTAGCTGTGGAAATGAGAGGATAACATGGGTGTACAGATTAATAAAACAAATGACTCTAGGTGTTAAGTCGAAAATTGCACTGGTGGTATAAATTCGAGTGAGTTTCTCCACTAAAATTGATATCTGGCAACTTAATTCTTTTCTGATGCCGAATACCTGTAGTAGGTGCATTACACTCCCATCCGCTCTGTCCTACCATAGGGTTGTGAGACATGGTCGTTGAAAGCAAATACAAAGAGATTACACAATTTGGAGCACAGCTGTTTTCGTAGTGGTGGAATCACTGTGTGAGGAATGTTAAGACCAAGTAGAAGGTGCTTGGCTAGGCACGCCAGCAAGTCAATGAGGTTTCGAAGCTCCAACTAATGAAGTGCCTTGGATATGTGTTGGGCATACTGAGTTGTCGCCTACCTCAACGTACAATGTCAGCCGAATTAAGGTTGGTTTCAAAAAAGGTTATGCTTCGCCAGGTCAAGATTTAGCACTTATTCACCAAGTCCTTAACTGATGGTCTGAATCATGCACGGAGGTATGGGCAAACTGGTTCGGGTCCTCAAAACAGTAGAAACTAATGGCTGAATACCCTTGGTGGTATAGATGAATTTCAATCACAGTGACAAAGATTTATTCACTCTTTGACGTCGTCTGGATCTATTCCCCCTCCCATTCACCTTTGTCAGTTTTGATATCGGTCTTTTTCTGCCAACTTGCTCATTGCATACCGCTGTGAAGTCTGTCCACTTGATGGATGCACTATAGTGTGACTTTTTCTGTCATCTTTAATACAACTTATCGGTAGAGCCGTTCGATACCACCAGTGGTGCTATGTGCACTTCTAGGTCAAAGATCCATTGCATTAAATTTTTCATATCCATGTTTCAGTCAGGTGAGGGGGAACTAGTCATTCTTCAAAATTTAGCATGTTCAGTTTTCTACACCATTTGGGATGAATGAATTAACAACAAGGATTTCATCTTCATGAAACGGCTGAGAAACGGTCAACATGGCGCAGGTGTAATCAGTCGTTCACGTCTTCTAAAGCTGTAATATTCAGACTAACCTTTATCTTAAGATCGTTTACTTTCTCACACAACTTTATCCACTTTGATATCACTCCTATTCTATCCACTTGTTCTTTATGTACTACTGTGATGTGTGGCGACTTCAGCCGATGCACTTGTGTGCAAGGTTCCACATCGGTTTTTTCAATCATTATAGGTTTATATTTTATCTTGACATCAACGATGAAACGTTCTTCAATGATAATCATTATGAGCACATAGTGTTCTCAGTACTTGTGTAAGTATTATTATTATTACCATTTGTCCCTTGGGTTCCTAATGGAACATAGGGCTTCAGTAGCACGTCTCCACTGCGCTCTGTTCTCTGAAATCTTTTGAACCTGGTTCCACGACAGCCCACAAGCTCTCATTTACTCCTCGCACGATCCTCTCCATTTCACCCTCGGACGCCCAACTCGTCGCTTCCCATGGGGGTTCCACTCGAGAAATTGGCCCGAAGCGTGATGTCCCCAGTCGGCCTTCTCAGTGTATACCCAATCCATCTCCACTTCCTTATTCTACATATTTGTTGGGTGATAGGTTCCTCCTTGATTCGTTCCCAGAGTTCCTTGTTGCCTATTCTTTCTGGCCATCTGATCTTCAGTAGCGAGCGTAGGCAGTTGTTGATGAATGTCTGTAGTTTATTGGAAATCCCTTTCATGACGCGCCAAGTCTCTTAACCATACAGAAGCACTGATTTGACGTTGGTGTTGAAAATCCGGATGTTGTTCCACATGCTGAGTGTAGAAGATCTCCACACTGGTTTCAGGCTAATGAACGCCTGTCTTGCTGTCTTTCCAATTCTGACTTTGACATCGTCTGTCCCGCCATCTGTAGTTGAAACAGTGCTGCCTAGATAGGTGAGGGAAGCTACTTCCTTTAGGTTTCTCCCATTGATAGTGATTGGAGCTTGTTGTTGTTGGTTGCGTTGGTTGGGTATCTTCATCACCTCTGTCTTCTCTATATTCACTTGAAGTCCCGTCTTCGCTACACCTGTGTAAGTGATGCATAATAATATGTATTCCATGATCTGTAAGGGGATTTACAGTTGTCATCTTTATGATATCTCTTGGCTGATCGAAACACTAGGTAAATATTGTTATGCGACAATTCAAAACATTATGAATTCCCGAAGCATTCAGTGTTTGTAGTCAAACGGCCTTAAGCTCAGCTTACGATACTTCTATACTCCTTGTCGTGAATCAGTAAGACTTTCAACAACTCATCCTCCCTTTTAGATAACAGTCGGCTAGTCAGGTTCACGTAAGCTAAATTCGTTTGGGTACACCGCTGACAAGCTCGGTCACAAACGTCCGATGTTTAGGTCACTCTCATCTAGTTAGCTGATGAAATCTTAACATCATCCTGAATGGTTTCCAAATACTCAAGTTGTTCTGTGGCGAATATGAACCTGTCGAGTCGTTTAGGATTAACGTCAGAGACTGTACCATTCAGCCAATCATATTCAACTCCATATACATTTCTGACGCCTCGGATAGACGATTCTTATACAGCTTTGTTACACAGTTTTCCTTCTCAACCATCATTCAATAGACAAGGAGATTAGTGTTCACTATCCTAATAAATTGTTAGTGATGTGATTCACGCATTTATACAACCAAATGATTTCACGCCCAGAAAACAGAACTTCGCCCAACAACCCGACTTTATTTATTAGGTAGTTTATTCAGGAGTCATAAGTGGTACAGAAACATTTGAAAAATCAGTACGCTCTTGGATCAACCAAATGAATGATACTGTATGTGTGCTAGACTAAAGTCTGTAATAGGATTTGGTAGTTTGTAGGGATTTAGTGATTTTCCATGTTGGTATTCACCGTGGACTGACATCATTTGGAGGAACACTGGAAACCTGGGAGCAATGGACAACTGTTTCGTCCTAGTATGCAGCCCCTCGGGGTGTGCACCCATGACCCGGCTAGGGATAGTACCCAGGACCAGAATGTCCCGGGCTGGGTGGTGATATTGGGTGATGGTCATGCTTTGTCTTGAAATGACAGAATTTGGAAATATGGACCTCTGGATTCTGACCCAGTGGCTTAGTGATGACCTGCTGGTCACGGGACCTGAAGGTCCTGGGTTCGAACCCTGGTTAGATGAAGCGGGGTCATGGGTGCGCATTGCTGAGGTGTCCCATACTACGACAAATTAGCTTTCCAGTGCTCCTAAGTGTTCAGTTTCCCTCCAACTGTTGTTTGTCCGTGATGAATACCATCCTGAAAGTTTTTCAAGCAAAATAAAAATGACTTATCTGAAATTAATTTCGTTGTTTTCTTTTGTCCTCATAACAGTTATTTTGTAAAAAACTAACCACAGAAAGTCAATAATTGAAGGCAACTAGGTAGTCATCTCCTTCAAAAATGTGACTTTTTATAAAGTATACAATAGTACTTAATTCAAGAAAAAAAATTTAACTTTTTATGGTTGTTACAAAGCATAAATTACCATTCAGTCTTTAGAACCGAATAAATTGGTTTTAAATTACCCTATTATATCCGTTATACAGCGTCATTAGTAGGCCTCCGTTTTCAACTCAACTGATAGCTATTGCCTTGATTTTATGGTTGAGTTGGCAATGATCCACTGAGCTATGGTGGTTGCAGCAATTGTTCTTTCAGGTTATATCATGCCAGAAAGATCTGCTAGAGAACAAGAGCAGTTATGATCATAGAGATGATGATTTCTGTGATAGTGACGGACTGAAGATAAATTCACAATGCTGACTTGACGATGTTTGACTGCAGTATGGTGTTTTGTGTGGATGACCAGCGTTGCATGCTGGTGCCGCCTTCTCTGTCAGCAAGACATTTTAGAAAAGTTCTCTCCTGAAATAGCATAATCTTCCTACCCTCAAGTCTTCCGATGCCTACTCCTTTGATTTCTCTTGTTTGGTGACGTCACAGTGGAATTTAAACACAAACACTTACAAGGTCGTGCGTCACCCACCTCAAAGCAGACGTCCCTAGCCTACTTCCACTTTCAGATGCCTCACAAAAACAACTTCGTTGAGGTGTGCAGTTGGGAGTAACGAACTACCCATATGACTCCAGCAGCGTATGATACCCGATTACCCATAACATCCGTTCTCAGGCTAGTCTAGATAAACAGCATAGGTTTCATCATTTGAGAAGTGCAAGAAATGCATTTTTAAAGGGATTTTCGGCAAATTATTGGAAGATAACTGGAACTTCTGAACTGGGACAAAAGAAAGGTATCCACCCCCAACTTGGTCTTCCCAGCTGGTATCGGTCTTCGATGAAAATTCTTTTCGACAATGTCATAACCTTCACAGAATCTTTAGCAAATCATGTGAAGTAGCAAAACAATTGAAGTTGTATTCCCTCCCCACTATAGGATGACTTGCACACGTATGTTTTTCAGTAAAAGAACATACTTTAAAATTATGGATGGATAGTATCTAGCAGTGGAATCCAGAATGTGCTTTTCGTCTTGCGTGGAATCCGTCAGCCGGATGTACCTGCCTCCTAGTAAGTGATTATCTTCCAAATGAGATTAAAACTCAGTATTCAATGCTTAACACTAAAGTAAAATCAAAGGCTATTTCGAGGTATCTACAAAGGACCCTATATGCCAATAGAGACCGATCAATTCGGTGCAGATCAATGAAAAAACGGGAAATAACAAGTTCCAATAATTAAAAAGAACACATTTTCGAAACTGTTTTCTTTTCCACTTACATTATCTCTATCTCGTATGAGCTGAAGAACTTGAGGCTTTTCTGGGACCAGTGATGAATTCAAGAATATCTCCTCCGTAACTGTTCGTTGAGCCTTGCCAGTTTGATCAGTAATTGCATAAATATAATACAATAATGAGTCCTAAGATTTGAAGTAATCAAGAAAAATAAGAAATAAAGCGAAATGATTAATTGGAAATAAAACGATACTCTAATTAATCTTTTAACTTATTCATTCCTCCAATTGTTTAACTCTGCACCATTGACCGAGTCATTATAAAAATACGTGAGATGAAATAATTTATTTTTAAAAACTGATGTTTAATGATGTTTCTATTTCAGACATCTTGTGAATTCTCAACTGACTAATATACTTAAGATCCTAACACATCAACGTTACTAACATTTAGATGCAGTGAATGTGTTTCCATGCAAACAGTACTGTTGTGAATGCTTATCTATCAGCTATCACTTCGCAGAACCTATAAAGTTTAGCCATACTATGTAACATAAGTAACCTTCTTCCGGGGATCACATTCAATGATTCGAAAGTGAGTGGATCGGCGAAATTTGATACGGACATTTCAAAGTAGTTTTCACCAGCTGCTGAAGAGTCACAAAAGCTGAGATGTAACACCAATTCACTGTTTCCAGGATTACGAAATTTCTCCAACTGATGTAAGTCTGTGACGAAAACCAAAGTGAAATAAGATTAGCCCTATAAACTCTCACTTGAATCGTAGGGATATTTGGATGAAACGATATATGAAATGATCGCATTATTATTATTGTTATTATTATTATTATGTGTCTGAAAGAGACTACTTCCTTTAGATATCTCCCATTGATGGTGATTGGTCCTTGTTGTTGATGTTGTTGGTTGGTTATCTTTTTCACCTTCGTATCCTTTACGTTCACTTGAAGTTCCGCTTTCTCTGCCCCACATCCTCTGCTAAATTGTTGGTTTTCACCTTTAGATCTTCGAGTTCGTGTGACACTAGACACAAATCATAATCGGCTATATCCAAATCTTCTAAGGTCTTTTCATCGGTCAAACAGCGTATTCCTATCTTCTCTCTCATCACGGTTTGTTGCATGATCCAGTCCAGTTGACCACAACGAGGAAGATGATCGGTGATAGTAGGCGGCAGCCTTATCTTACTCCTGTCTTCACCTCACTTCAAAGGCGTCACTGAGCTTTCCATTATGAATCCCTTGGCATGTAGCATCATATAGCACATAGCTGCTGTTGAATGAAGTTGATAAAGGTTTGTGGTACTATAACCGTAGTTTTGAAGCAGCTGCCTGCCAAATTACTTCTCGGCCGACGCTATCGAAGGCCTTTTCAAAGCCGATGAAGTTGAGGTAGAGAGTTGACTGTAACTCTATGCTCTGTTTTATGATGACGCTTAGCGTTGCGTTGCGATTTGAACCGCATATGATTTGTTCTTCCTGAACCCCACCAGCCATCTTGTTCCGGTCGTGATTTTGAATCGAGAGCATTTTTCAGTCTCTCTAGCATGATGCGGTTTAATATTTTGCTTCGGGTGGACAAGAGTGGAGAATGATTCCTCGCCAGCTCTCGTAACGACTCACCTTTTTTTGGAAGTTTGACAAGGTAGCACTTCTTCCACTTGACAGGCACCGTTCCACCCCTCCAAAACTTCTGCAATAGTGCTGTGAGCGTGTCCACTGTTGTCGCTGTGTTTGTTTTCAGTGCTTCTGGAGGAACTTCATTTGGTCTTGCTGCTCTCCCGGATTTCAGCAACTTCATGGCGGATGAATGCATTCTGCTGATCAATACTGATTGATTTCTAACAACTGTGGTGAATTATCGTCGATTCCGGGTGAAAATCCCTTGACATATCCATTTCTAGTTCATTGATGATGTAGAGAAACTACTACTTTACGGAAATCTATATCAGTGAAAGAAATATTTCCTATAGGTTGTCAGAACCAGTCTAATCACTGAAATACATTTCAGCAGCTAACTATAATCATTGTTTTTAGGTTAGAATTCATCATTAACTGACACCAGTCAAAGGAATATTAGAAACCTGGGAGGATTGGTCACCTGTTTCGTCATAGTATGGGAATTTTCAGCGATATGCATCCATGACCCTGCCCAACTCTACCAGGGATCGAAACCAGGATCATCGGATTCTGTGGCCAGCACGTTACCATTGAGCCACTGGGTCGGCGGAGTCAAATTTCATACTTCTGTCATTCCCGACCTAAAATCAATTACTAAACGTCAACAAATTGTAAGATAGAACTAATCTTTCCCTCATTGGTGACGAGCTTAGAGAGGTGGTTCCCAAAGTTCCAATCACAAGTCGTGACCGGTGGAGTCAACTAAGTCGAATATGCGGACGGTTACTGGACGACGACATTGGATGTAGGTCACGCTGTATCGTGAACTGATGGAAGTAGAAAATGTGAACCATTTAATCACAACCCAATGGCTCAATGGTGACGTGCTGGCCTCGGAATCTGAAGGTCCTGGGTTCGAGCCCTGGTGGGGTGGGGTGGGACGGGGCCATGAGTGCACACTGCTGAGGAGTCCGACGCTAGGATGGAAAAGCTATCTAGTGCTCCCAAGCTTCCAATTCTCCGCCAACTGATGTCAGTCCATGATGAATTCCAACCTGAAATCAACCAATAAACCTCAACACACCTCCAGATATTGTAATCATTATTTGCTGACTCTCATAGGTTTCCCCTTTAACACGACGTAGTTAGTGCTATATATGTGGCAATTTATCTCAGCCATATTTCAAAATGTACACCTTTCGTTGTCAGTCTACGTAGCAACCAGAAGTGGTGGTTGGAGACTCAGAATCGATAACAGTGGTATAGATGCACTCTAACACCATCTTTCTATTTAGCGTCCTACCGTTCTCCCTTCAAGACTTTATATCACTTTTGACTACTCCCTTGCTCATTTCTCTGTTTTTCATCTTGGGTAATTCTGGCTTAAGGTAGTGATAAAAAATGTGTAACAACTTGAACCATTACTCAGTAATACTGGGCTCCACGTCTAGGTCGGCTGACTGGTGTGCTAACACTGTAGCTTACTGTGCACTGTCAGGGAACCTGGAACTCGAGATAATGACAATTTACCTACTACCTACGAAGAAAGAAGCTTCGTTAATAAAAGGTGGTCCTTATGATGTTGTCCAGAATGACAATGAAAATTTCACTATCAAACCATCCATCAAAATTATCCTCTTGAGCCACAAATATTCTCCATCATCTTAAATCCTACAAGCATTAAACGATTTTTTTTGTTCGAAATAGAAGAATTTCGCCAAGAGTTAGCTCTCCGCGGGAAAACAACTATGTTTTCTCCACGACTGTCTACGTCAGTCTGTTTTACAAACTACCGTTAGATACGGACCACCTATCGGGAAAACAGTGGAAAGAAGTGGATGACACATAGTACAACCAATGATCACCGATGCTCATTATAGAACTCAGAAACATCAACAGACAATAAACAGCCGAAGGAAAAAGCTTCAGGTGGTACTCATAACAGAATAATTTACAACAGTAGCAACTGAGATTGAAAAATCAAGCAGATAGCACAAAGAACTGAGAAGAAATATCCTTCAAGAAAAGCTTACCAAGAATTCAAAACCATGAGCATCAGAAGGAGAAGAAATAAGTGACTGCGAGGTCTACTTGCCCAAACATCTTCTGATGAAATCCGAGGAAATACTCTTTCAAAAAGGACTAAATTACAATATGAACGACTGCTCACGATCAAAATTCTTCTCACCCCTGGAGTCATTACTGTAGACTTCGGGACTAAACTCTGAGAACCAACAGGGAATACAGAAAGTATCCTGCCTTTGACCACACAGAAGCAAAATCATACTCAATTAACCAGCATATAACAAAGAGCTCTAAAGAAACTGAAGAATAAAAAGAACATCGCAACAATTCCAGTTGACAAAGAGAGCACTACAGTAGTCATGGATAAAGACGACGACATCGAAAGGGCGGAAGACTAAAATGTATATCAGCCAACTGACCGTCACATCACCAAAACTATGAACGAACTAGTCAAGAACAGTGGCAAATGAAATCCGTACAACTGAGTTATTCAGCTCAGAGAACCCAACACCAACAAAACTTACAAGCATTTCACATCTGTTCATGAAGTAGTCATCACATACTCTTAGAAAGTCTAACTTTGCAAAGAAAGTTGTTTTCACCTCCTTTCTAGTCAACACTTACCTTGATATACACATAACTTTTTGACTGTTCACCTTCACTGAACCAAAGTAGACCAGAAGTGACACCAAAGGGTAAAGTGAAGTTAATTGTTAACACTTCTTCTTCCACAGATCTTTGTAATCGGTTACGAAAGTCATAACGGACAAAACTGCCTTCTGGAAAATTAACTGATGAAATATACTTGATTGGGTTGGTGGGTATTTGATCGAACAGATTGCTTAAACGTCTAGGTCTACGACGCTTTACCATGTCTGGTGATTCAAGATGGAAATCTTTCAACAAGAAACTAATACCTGGCTCAATAGTTAATTGTAGTTGTGAAGCTTGTCCAAACATTAGTCCAACAAAGTTTTTTAAAGCCTCAGCCTTGATTGTAACCATAAGTGTTCGATCATTTTCGGTATCAGTAAGCTCACCAAGTGAATCTGTCTCATATTCAATAGAATGCTTATTCTTAACTTTTGAAGTCAACTTATTCGATTTTAAATTGACTGTGACTTCGATTGTATTCCAAGTATTCATTGTCAAAGGTATGAAATGGTGTACTTGTTGGTGTTTCATTCGGTTTTTGTTTGGTAATTGACCCCAAGTGATGGATAACTTTGACCCGGGAAGAATGTAGAATTGTAGTGCCCATGATGTTTCTTCACCAGTGAAGTGCGAGGCTAGTAAACTTATGACATGAGTTTTAGAAGGAATCGGTGTATATTCTTCTGGTTGCATGGTAAATCGAATTGTGAATTGATCTGTTAAGAAAAAATAGAGATTATTATGAATGAAAGTATTCTGAACTTAAATTTAAACCGTATAAACTATCAATAAAAGAACGATATTCAACAGAACAGCTGATATCATAAAGCATTTCAATTAGCCTGAGTTATCTCCGGTTCAATGGATCAAATTTGGCCGTATAGTATTCCAATTTGGAGATTTCTGTAAATTTGACTGATTTTAAGGTGGTAGTCATCACGGACCGACATTAGCTGGAGAACCAGTGAAAATCCAGGAGCAGAGATAAGCTGTTTCATCTTAATATGACTCTTCAGTAGTGCACACTCAATAACCCGCCAGGGGTCGAACTCAGGGCCTTCAGTGTTTTAAAAAGTTCTTCAACTGATGTCACTCTATGATGAATATCAAGATGGAATCAGTCGAGTAGATTACAATGAAGTCATCCTTCGTGATTTGACTAAAACTTTTCCTATTCATTGATCGGTCACTGGAGAGTAACCACCTTCATGTTGTTTAATCCTCAATGTTGACTGACTTCTATCGATCATTTTCTTAGCAACATGGTCACCAAGCTAGGAGGCTAACTGCTGAGGTGGACACTGATAAATGTCAGTTGATGAGCCTATTACTACCGAATATTCCAGTCTGAGTAAATGGACAATAGTGTTCATCTGAAGACCATGGAGGAATCAGTATAACTAATATCCCGTCCAAGCTCCTTTTGTCTATAGTTATGCAAAGCCTAACTGGATGTCAACAGAAGCAAAAATTGAGAAATCTAGGCAGATTTCAGATCTAGATAAGAGTGCATCAATCAGATTTTCACCCTTCTAAAGTTTCTGGAAACCTTGCCTATTTAAATAGTTCAGTAGTTACTAGCCAGTCCTAAGCTCAGATAAAAAGGGAAGGTCCAAACAATGTTTGAACCTGGCAAGGCTGCCCAGATTGCAAAAGAGATGAGAAGGTATGGGATAGAAGTGCTAGGAATCTGCGAAAGCACATGGAATGGAAGTGGACTCTCCAAATTCTTAACTGGAGAGTCAATAACCTACTCCGATATTGTCACCCACATGACAACAACGAGCACACTCAGGCAGTGGCTATCACAATGTCCCCAAGAGCATCAAAGGCTCCCTCTCATGCAGTGGGAACCAACCTCCTCCTCCATGATCATGACAGCAAGATTCAACTCAAAAGGAAGGAAAATCACAATCATACAATGCTATGCTACGCACCTGTAAATAATGCAGATGAAGAGAAGAAAGAAAAAATCCTACAGGCAACTGCAATCAGAAATAGACAAAACTTCAGTTGGCGACAAAAAATGGGTGACATGAATGCCAAACTGGAAGCAGATAATACAGGAAGAGAACTCATCATAGGTCGAGAGGCACTCATTTGTGAAGTAAATGAGAATGGAGAACTGTTTGTAGACTTCTGCGCATTTAATGATTTGGTGATTGGAGGCAGTGTGTACAAACAAAAGGATATTCACAAAGCGACATGAATTCCACCGGATGGATACACTAAAAATCAGATTGACTTCGTCTCAATGTTAAGAAAGTGGAGACGCAGCCTACTGGACACAAGATCAGATCAAGAAAGGGAGCAGATGTAGGTTCACACCACTCACTATCTAGTGCAAGGAACCTTCCAAACCAAGTTGAAAGCATTCAAAGAAATTGGCGATAGACCACAGTTCAAGTTCAATACCCAGAACAGAAACTTAAGGACGAACCTACAAGGAATATATTCACGTCAGCCATCAGGACAAAATGAGATACATTGAGCAACGTCCCTGAGGAAACCTCCGTGGAAGAACAATGGAACTCTTTGAAAGAGATGTGGAAAGAAACCTGCAAAACCGAATTGGGAAGGGAGAGGAAGATGGTGAGGCAGAAGATGAACCAGTGCAGTGCAGCGATGAACAACGAAAAGAGTAACTGAGCACATCTTATAAAACACTGGACAAAAAAGTGAAGAATGTGTGCAAAGAAAAAAGACACTTCTGGGGCGCACTTGCAAGTGGAACAGAACAGGCTGCTGGTAGGAGAGACCTGGCAGCACTGTACCTAATAACCAGGTTACCATCTGGGAAAAGATCAACGAAAATGAAACCAATGAAAGATAGTCAAGTAAACTTAGTTATCAAAGTGGATAAACAAAGGAAAAAATGGGCTAGTCACTTCAAAAAACCCTTGAATAGACCACCACCACCTGCAATTCGTCTGAAAATACCACCAGCAGCCCAGCCACAGAACTACCACTGAACACAAGCCCTTCGACAAAAGAAGTTAAGTCCTGAACACCATAAAGTTGCTGAAATCCGGGAGAGCAGCAAGACCAAATGAAGTTCCTCCAGAAGCACTGAAAACAAACACAGCGACAACAGTGGACACGCTCACAGCACTATTGCAGAAGTTTTGGAGGGGTGGAACGGTGCCTGTCAAGTGGAAGAAGTGCTACCTTGTCAAACTTCCAAAAAAAGGTGAGTCGTTACGAGAGCTGGCGAGGAATCATTCTCCACTCTTGTCCACCCGAAGCAAAATATTAAACCGCATCATGCTAGAGAGACTGAAAAATGCTCTCGATTCAAAATCACGACCGGAACAAGATGGCTGGTGGGGTTCAGGAAGAACAAATCATATGCGGTTCAAATCGCAACGCAACGCTAAGCGTCATCATAAAACAGAGCATAGAGTTACAGTCAACTCTCTACCTCAACTTCATCGGCTTTGAAAAGGCCTTCGATAGCGTCGGCCGAGAAGTAATTTGGCAGGCAGCTGCTTCAAAACTACGGTTATAGTACCACAAACCTTTATCAACTTCATTCAACAGCAGCTATGTGCTATATGATGCTACATGCCAAGGGATTCATAATGGAAAGCTCAGTGACGCCTTTGAAGTGAGGTGAAGACAGGAGTAAGATAAGGCTGCCGCCTACTATCACCGATCATCTTCCTCGTTGTGGTCAACTGGACTGGATCATGCAACAAACCGTGATGAGAGAGAAGATAGGAATACGCTGTTTGACCGATGAAAAGACCTTAGAAGATTTGGATATAGCCGATTATGATTTGTGTCTAGTGTCACACGAACTCGAAGATCTAAAGGTGAAAACCAACAATTTAGCAGAGGATGTGGGGCAGAGAAAGCGGAACTTCAAGTGAACGTAAAGGATACGAAGGTGAAAAAGATAACCAACCAACAACATCAACAACAAGGACCAATCACCATCAATGGGAGATATCTAAAGGAAGTAGTCTCTTTCACCTACCTAGGGGGCAGCTACGGGAGGCACAGGCACAGATGAGGACTTGAAAGCCAGTCAGGATCGGAAAGACAGCAAGACAAGCTTTCAATAACCGGAAACGAATGTGCAGATCTGCTGCACTCAGCCTAAGGAACAAGATCAGGATTTTCAACACCAACATCAAGTCAGAGCCTTTATCTGGTTCAGAAAGTTGGCGCGGTACGAAAATCATTTCCAACAAACTACAAACATTCATTAACAGCTGCTTACGCTTGATACTGAGGATCAGATGACCAGAAAGAACAAGCATGGAGGAACTCCGGAAATGAACCAACCGATAACCTATTGCCGAACAAATCAGAAGAAGAAAGTGGAGACGGATTGGACATACAGTGAGAATACCGATTGTGGACATCACACACTAGGCTAGGCCGTCCAGTGGAACGCAAATGGGAAACGATGAGTTGGGCTTCTTAGGCGAGGGTGACATGGAAGAGGTGGTGTGAGGAAGAAATGAAAGCTTATAAGCAGTCTTGGAGAGAAGAAAGTGAAATGCAGACGTGCTATTAAAGCCCTATGTTCCACTACGAACCCAAGGGACAAATAATAATAATAATAATAGGTCCTATAACACAGACATACACACTGGTTGCTGATACTTGGAATATTTCTTCACCTGAAGCAACCAGCAGTGGTTTTGGCATGGTAGGACTGTAAACTGAGTACCAAGCGAGTTCACAACGCTAGTCAAATCTCTTTACTCAGATGCACGCAGCCGTACTAGAGTTAGTGGAAAGAATCCATCTGAACTGACGAGAATTAGTTATATCCTCCGGGAATATCCGCCGTCACTGTTCTGATTTAACTTAGTTACAGACGTACTTATGGACGTAAGCACAGGAACCTCCGACTTCATAGGGATTGGTTTACTCCCTAGAAATCATCTGGTTCACTCGGGGTATAGAGAAGATATTTTCCTGGTAGGTGAAGACGCTTACAAAGTGTAGGGTCTTCTGATCTGAAAGCATTCAGAAAACATCTAGGTACATTTGGCATGCGTTTCGACCTTACCATATGCAAGATGATGCTTCGGGACTTGTCTTCAACTAATCGCACTTGAAGGATACCTCGTTCGCTTAATTTACTTAGTTGTATCATGTTAGTTGAATGGACGAGCTTCTTTCTGGTGAAATCTCAACTCAGATGCAGGAGACCGGTTCGATATTTCCCACCTTGCGTCATCGCTGATACCGGCGAAATATCCAACTATCTATTAATGGACTAGTGTGCTGCGTTGCAGTTCGTTCTGTCCTATAATGCAGCTGTGAGACATAGCCGTTAAAAGTAAAAGATATGAAGCTGTTACATGTTTCTGATCACACATATCTTCGTAGCAAAGCTCACATGTGATAGAATTACGTTGCTATCGTTGTCAAGACAGGCAACCTGGTCGATGAGGCTATGAACCTCCACCGACTGAAGTGGTTTGGAGACACGTTTAGCATGATGAGTAACCCTCACGTACTTCGATGTGCACTGTTAGCCTCAGCATGGTCGGGTGGAAAGAAGACTCAGTGTGACCAGATAAAGACGCGGCACTAGTTCATTTATTCTTTGACTGTTGATGTAAACCGCTTAGGAGACAATCGATTGCAATGGCGCGGATGTATTCATTTTTTGACATCTAATGTTTAGGTATTTTCATCAACCTTGATTTTCAAATTCTTTCTCTTTCAATACACCTTTGTGTACCATGAAATAACCCACTTGTGCTTTATATGCTTCTATGAACTGTGTGACCTTGAACCTACAAACTTCTGTGAGAGGCTGTATGTTGTTTTTTCCGGCGGTCATATACTGGTGCTGTCTTGACCTAGTCAGCCTTGGCTTTCTCGCAGCCATTTTCAACTTAGGTTTGAGAGGAATCGAGGAATGAAGACGGTTCGCTGCATAAATCAATGCATGGAAAGCTGTTCTTTGTGAACGACATATAAGGATACTAGAAAACTAATAGGAGAGTTGAATTTGGACACTATGGTAGAAATGTAACCTCACTATAGTTCTTTTTCTATCACATATTAAAACTGTATTGCGTAATTATCAGTAAATAAAACTAAACTATTATAGGATTGTACTAGAAAACTGTTCAAAAGACATACATGGCCATAAGCCTGGATGAGGCCTTGAGAATAATCTGTGCATTTTCAAGACAAGAAAACTGAAATAGCCATTAGCTTTTTCGCCAAATCATATCATCGAAGACTGCTTGATTTCTCAGCCAAAGATCTAAGAGTGTCGTACAACAGTTGAAATACTTAAAAACCACCTTTTGTGGTACCGTATGCTAGTCACTTTCCTGGATTCGACATCTAATTAAACAAGGTATCAAGTGGGACTCGTAGCCTATCTTCTCCTTCCTTCTATGTACGGATAGATGGAATCATATCTAAATAGGATAATAGCTGTCTGTTTTTAACTATGTGTGGATTCTGAAATCCTGTGGTCACATGCTTTAAAAGAAGACAGTACTAAGGGTTTGTCAGTAATACGTGGGTCTGTATTCGTTTAAACAGCCCAGTGAAAGGTGTTTCTGACCCATACACCGAGTGATACTGGTACCACGATTTTGATGTATGCTAGTAATGAGAGTACCAATATGCAAGAAAGCTATATCTAGAACTTCCAGCCAATCAGTTGCAAATATCTTGCATCAAAATTATGTAAATTATAAGCTGAAATGCAACATAACCTTCTTACCTGAAACACATGCTGTCAAATTCCATGGACAATCGATCATATCGAAATTAGTTGAATATTTAAATTCATCGAACGAGGTTGGAATTAAAAACAGTCCACTGATTGGTTCAACTGGAAATCGAATACTAGTCGGTAAGCCAACAGTGTCCACATTTAAATAGGGTGAACCAATCACTGATTTAGTAGTTAGACTGTGATACAACTCATCAGTGTCGAGAAGTACATGCGCCAACTGACTGCCATCCACAAGTTTGATATCTTCAATAGGAACTGTTAATGGGAAGAAAAAGAAGTATGCATACAGATAAACTAAATGGCATCAGTAGTACTACAGTACAATGGTTATTCAAAGTATAACCTAATTTGAGAAATATTGAGAAGTTTTGAAATAATTAATCGATTTTTACAGACATGGAGTCAATGAGTGAAGTTGACCCGAAACCTGAGTGATTATGTGATGATACTTGTAATTTCCTGTTGTTATACAGGGCCTAATTGCTCGACCTCTGTTAGCAGATAGGCTCCTATGCGGATGTTTCCATACTGCCGGTTATTCATGATGGCATATTGATCTTGGTGACTAGTAGGTGAGTTTAGAACGCGCGTTTCGTCCTATTTGGGACTCGTCGACTGGATGTACCAGCACCCCAATGAGTGATGTTATTCACACTAAGGCTCGAACCCAGTGCTCTATGGTTCGAACTCCAGCTCAAGCCCCGGTGTGAGAAACGTCACTTACTGAGGTGCATGTACATCAGACTGACGAGTCCCAGCTAGGACGAAGCATGCATCTGGGATTCCTCTGCTAGTCATCAAGATCAGTACAACGCCTGAGTGATGAGTTAGTAGTTACTGAGCGAAAATGTTCACCTTTTTGCCAAATCCCTAGTTATACTGGAGTGTAAAAGTAGTTTTTATCACTAACTGATGTCTGCTGGAGAACTACTGAAAGCCTGGGAAGACTAGACAGTTGTTCTGCCTCAGTGTGCAGCGAGGCGCCAGACTTAGAACCACCAGGTCTCACAGCGAACAAGTTACAATTTAGTCACTAGGTTGACACCCAGTGTGTGCCACATTTTTCACCCTCAACTAACTAATCACCCACAATCTAGGAACCATAGGTTTCAATCAAGTTTTATATCAACTCTAATAATCATTTCCTTGTGTGTAGATATTACCATCATTTCGGAAAGTCTAATTAAAAGACAACTTTCATCAAATATTTTTAAAATAATACCTATACTTCAGAACTATTTCAAACCAGTAAATGATCTTGGTTTCAACACAACAAGATCTTAATTTAAAGGTTCGTATGGATTAATTGATTTCAAAGTACGATTCATCACTGACTGACATCAACGGAAGACATTGTCATTTCTTGCTCCGGACTCGTGATCATTAAGCTACTCGGTCAGAGTTTAATAGCTTACATTTTCCTAATTCTATAAATTCTCGATGCAGTGTAACCATCATTCAATGTCGAAAGAAGGCATCCACTTTACTTTTGAAATGGCTGACCCCGCACTTTATGACTTCGCACTACAACTTTGGGAATTTCATCTTGAGTCTGGGAGAGTTCCTATACTAGAAAGAAATAGTCGTCCAGTGCTTCAAGGTTTTCAGTGGATCTCCAACAAGAACATCTGTCAATATTTAAAAACTATGCCAGATTACATGATGAGAATGATGGTAAAACGAAACCTCCTCATTAACAGAGGGAAATTATGGTTTACTCAAGATTTATGTTTAATATTCAGGACAATTTCAATAAACATTTAGATATCCACTTAGTGTTTATTGTTCACAATTCATCTATAACAAGTAATCCATCACAGACAAAATTGTCATTTATAAGTCGCTTGAACAGCTAATTTTCCTCCTAGGATGATGAATGATAAAATCATATTGGCAACGGTAAGACGAACATATCCTGAATCGTGATCAGGAGACGTTGTTATTGCCTAATTATTCCCTTTGGATGGCTAAACACACTCCGTTATATATATATATATATATATATATATATATATATATATATATATATATATATGGTAATATTTTCAACTATACTATCGAATGAATCAGGCCTAAATCATGGAGGTAATGTAAATTTCTACAAGTCAGTAAACACATTTTACTGATAAGTGCCAGAGTACATGGAACACAGATTCCCTGATACCCGCCATTCGCCTTGAAATATCCATTGCAGGGTCGTATCAAATAAGCTCATGGATACATAGAACTGATCAATCAGTAGGTTATAACCGGTTTTTGTAACCTTTGGAAATTAGTCTACTTACTTATCACGGTATCAATCATCATTAGTCGTGTGTTTATGGATTGCACCCCAAATATCTTGAATAGAAATTAGTTAACAACGGGTAACTGATGTGGTTGTCTAGTCCTATGTCCTCGTCATTATGAGTTCTATGAGAGGTCAGTCATGACCTGAATAACTTGGTGACAAATCCAGTGAGGAGACAAGAGTTTTCGGATGCACCTCTTTGATGAGAACCAACAAACACGAAGACTAGGTCAAACAGGGCTAACTGCAGTTCAACTCCTAACATCTAACACTAAATAATACAGTTCACTCTGCACACATTCACTGAGTTTCATCATTCTGATAAGAGCTGTAAACTGTATCATGATACCTGACTCATAACATTGCGCCAGCTGAACAACAGTCACAACGAGAAAAGAAATTTTGTTGATCACTTTGTCAACTGATCGAGGAGTTTTAACAGCCAGCACACAGTCACTCATTTCTTACAATGAGAATTATGAATTATAAACAGAGATAGTTCCCAAACATGATAACTTCTACCTGCTCGAATCAGCTTGAATAATCACGGTAAGTCTTAGATACGAAACTTGGAAGCGAATTAACCTGACTCAGAATTCTGAAATTAAACCGATCCAAATAGAGATGAGGTACATTAGATAATTACAGTTTGAAACCTGTGGAGTACATAAGATACTGGCGAGGAATTAGTGAAAGAATGAACTGAATGCATGAGAATTTGAAACTGGTAAGATAGCTGGCAGTGGAATACAGGATTGATGTTTCACCCTTTCCGGGACTCATCAATGAAGACACCAACATCACCGCATAGAGGATTAGGTTTACATTCTGGATTCCACCTCTACCCTAGTACTAATCAAATGACGTAAAAAAGGAAGCTTAATTCAACATTGGAATCTCTATTCGAAGAGCCTGGATGCAAGAAGAGATAAGTTAACTTCACCCAGTGAAATTATTTATAAACGGGGAAACTGGAAATATTTACATTGTTTAAGGGCATGCAGTCCTTTGTTTCCAACTATTTCTATCTAGTATATTAGTTCTTGGGACAATGTTACGAAAAGAACGAACCCCTATTACTCACTTTTGAGATTTATTGGTTTAATTGTTAACCACTTGATAAAAGAGATACCACACGGTAATTCAAACTTGTTTATTTTTTTTAATATTACTCATGAGTAGCTTGTAAAGTTTTCAAGATGTTTACTGACTAACAACACTACGAGTTATTTTATTCTTAAGTCATCAAAAGAATATCATAGATGTCTGATGCACCATCCCCCCTCCCTCGAGTGTACGTTTCTATTTCGCTCAGTTCAACTGAACCAACTAGGTTGTGGGGACGTACCACTATGCATTTCCGTCGGACAATCATCAACTGACTGAAGTACCTGTTGTTATGATACTTGTAATTTCACATCTCTATACAGGATCGAACTGCTTGGCCTATGTTTGCAGATGGGCTTCTATGCAGTGCTGGTACATCCAGCTGAGAGCTCCAAATAGGATGAAACGCGCGTCCTAGATTGATCTTCCAGTCTCCAAGATCAGCATAACATTGTGAATATCCAAAAGTATCAAGGCATCCACATAGGAGCCTATTTGCCCACAGAAGTCGAGCAAATCAGTCCTGTACAACAACGGGAAATTACAAGTATCATAACAACTACTGATAGCCGTTGCAGAATAGATGACCGCCACGCCTCAGTGGCCTAGGGGATAACCCTCTGGCGTTTGAAGTGATCGGTACTGGGTTCGGGCCTCAGTGGAAACAACATTACTTGGGACTGGGGTACAGGTACGTTCAGCTGACGAGTCCCAAATAGAACGAAACGGGCATCTTGGATTCCTCTGCTAGTCACCAAGCTCAATATAACGTGAACGGAATACCTTATAACTATCCAGAGTGTAGTGTGTGACCGTCATTTTCAATTCCATTCCGCATAATTTGCCTTAAACTGGATATTCATTCTGATTTATGATTTCACCGATATGTATGACTGAAGCCCAAAGGCAAAGGAACTAGTGTGTCGTAGAGATTGTAAAAATGTCGTCCATGGTTAACAGAATGGTCCAGTTTATGTGTTTTGTTGGATGAAGAGTTTGTTAAATAGTAGTTGTTCATACAGCAGATATGCGTGAACAGTTTTATTTTTCGTGCACTTTTCGACATCCTCTTTTTCACAAGAAGTAAATGAAAATTCTTGTGATGTCTAAAGAGATAAATCTTTTCGCTAAGTCTTCAAACCCAAATGGATGCATTTGATTGGTGATAGATCATGTGAAATACAATTCATGTTTTCAGCTGGTAGACAGGAAATACCGCTGTGATACAATTACTTTCAATCGATACAGATGTAAAAAAAGTGAATTTTTCAACAAATAAATCACAAATGGAATTACAGCCCAAGGATTAATTCATGAACGTGCTATTTCACTTATTGGTCGTGAAAACTAGTTTCGGGCATCCTGAGTTCACTTGAACATATACCCTTCCCCCTTCATCAACCTTCAAAATTTACACATTAAACAAGTGAAGAGAGAGAGAGAGAATGAAATGTGAGACAATGAACCAGTTTCTCTTAAGATCCCTCATATATATACTCTTAAAACAGAAAGATGGATAGAGAATCTCTAGCTGAAAATATACTCAAAATATACTAACGAACAGCTTGAGCAGTAGTAGTAGTAGTATTTTGCCAGCCAGATCAGAGTGATCTAAATACCGGGTGATTTGTTCCCTCTTTTATAGTCGAGCTCATTAGCAGTAAACCCAGAGAAACTCCGCTTGTAAAGCTGGTATTTAGATCAATCTAATCTGATTACTGAGATCTCTAAACTAGCCTGAATAGCTTCTACCTAGTCAGCTTACCACTCCATTTAGTCTAAGTTAATAACCTTATCTTCTGGCCATCCTAACATGCCCACTACTCGATGCCAAACTAATAAATAATATAATTTGGGG